CACAATCCACACTAATACGCTTTAAATAAATGCTCAATGTGCTTGTACATCGATAGTTAAAGGCTTACTATGTTGATCTTGTAGTCTTTATCCCCCGATAAGTATAATAGACCTGCTATAATATATGTCTATAATGGACGTACTGTCAATTCGTAGACAATAATTCATTGGAATGTAGACGCGTCTATCACTAACTGAGGTGGGAACCATCAAGTCATGGAATTATATAATAAATAATTTATCAAAGCAATTCCTTTTACTTCCACCCATAAGCAAGCAAATTTTCTCAACATCATGTATAGTGCCTCACCGAATTTATGGATAACTATACAAGCCATCGCCTGATATTACACTAGCCTGATATTACAATTACTTTAGGTTGTGTTTCAAGGTCAAAGATACATTATTGCCCTGTGTTTTTGATGCGATTGAGGGCGTTTGTAGATAGCAACGTTTTTAAATTTTATTGACATTGAATCCCACTTTTTGCAACACACACATGTATCGAACGCTCACCTACCAATGCTCAACCCTTGATAATATGAATTATAAGAAGACAACTGCAGCATGAGCAAGCAGGGCTTGTCTTACTGAGCAAAACATATGTTAATTCATTAATAAAGTCGGAATTTAGGTTTTTTTCGCATCATCATCAAGAAATGTACTGAGCTGGAGTCTACGTACTCGAGCATTATCAACGCCAAGCTAAAGCGCTTTCTTCAGTACTCATTGGTAGAGGAGGCGTTAAATTTTGATTCCTGCAGTACCATCGTCATAGAACTGTTTTCACCAGACGTCTGAATTGCTCGAAAGCTCAATAATTAGCACTGTGTAGAGTATCCTGGTTGATGCCATCAAGTATATCCACGTATGGATGTACAATGTATATGTAAATTATTTATAAATCACACACTATCTGCATCCACGGCGACAAGGAGACCGGGTCGGTGGGAGGGTTTGAGCAAGTGTCATCATGAGGTAAAGACGATTGTTGTCGTGTATTTTTCCCGTGGTTTGCTCATTTTCAAAAATATTGGTAACTTTGGCTTGAATTTACGATGAGTGATTTTATTTTATTTTATTCAATTTGTAAATCATTTAAAGCGTGATACCTGATAGGAAGATCGATTGGGAATAGTTGAGGAGCACAAAAAGAAATTGTGAAACACATTAATTCCATTTTAAAACTATAAATTCGATATCATATGCTGACACCTGTTATGGTGGCACGCAAAATCGTAGCTTACACAGCATTTTGCCTATGTTTCCAATAATCTCCACACACTCTCCTTCGGACAAGCAAAGACACCGGTGATTGAAATAGAATATAGAGAAGCATTTGATATTTTGTTGTAAAACATGAAGTGAAAGCATAAAAAACTTTGCAACGCTTTTAAAATTGGCTTCTTACGCGTGAAAAGCTATAAAAATATATTCGCAACCTTGTGCCTGTGACTGGCATTTGCAAATAACTGGCAACTGACATGTAATGAAGGATAAGTTCCTTCTGATTATCGGTATCAGGCCATTTTAAATTGGCATAGAACCTTAGCTGACCAGCGTCAAGATGCAACCCCTTACGCGCGATGCGCCCTTATAAGCTATATCTATGGATTCCGGTATAATTACCGCTTTTCGAAGTCTTTACCATCATTACCATCTTCACCAAGCTCTGAATTTCAACGAAAGAGGTGGAATTGTCAACACATACAAAGTTGACTAACTGACATCATGATCTGCTCTTACTGACTCGATTAATTTTCTGGCTATTATGATCAAGACTGCTGCAACCGCATCGGACTGTTTGCAAAGGAAGCCACGGTATTGATATCAAGAAAGAAGTTGAAGAAATGGCTTTCAAAAGTAGAATGAAAATTAGGAAGAGTAAGAGAAGAAGTAGAAAGCTCTGGCAGATACTGAAACCAAGCTCGAACAGTTGCCGCACCGCAAATGATGGGTATTTTGTAAAATATCTTAGCCCTGTTGAAGAAGACAAGATTTTTCAGCGAGAGGTAATGCTTTCAGAAATTCTGGAGGCAGTGCAGGAGAAGGAGGAAAGGAACGAAGGTGGTGCAGCAGAGGAGGAGGCAATGTTAGTTGGCTTTACCAAGTACGAGACCATATGCACTTTAGGTAATCCTGTACCTTTCTATATTTGTTTCAGAAAACTGTCTTTTTCGCCTACGATCTACTTCGCAACCTTCAGATTGACATTCGCATTTCTGAAATAAGCAAAAATTATCCTCGATGTTTGACCAGATAGAATTTCTTTTCTCATTAGATTGATACGCTTCCTCTATAAAATGTACATCTGGCCTTTCTCGGCGATTGGTCATAAGCTCTAGTATATTTATCATCTAACTACCATGGTCGACAACCTCCTGATATAATTTTGACGAAGTATAATGTATCGAGGGGCGACAGCAAAGCTACCGTACATTTTAATGAAATCAAAATGTTGTAGAAAGCTACCTGCAATACATACTCCCATTGGCATAAATAATGTAGATGTCAATGTATTGGGCTCTATTGAATACTCGATGGTATGGAGAGGACCTATGATTAGGTGATAATCCATTTTGATTCGAATCAAGCTATACAATAGCTTATATTATGTCGCTTCTGGTCTGCTTTAGATTTTTATAGCCCGTAGGAGTCAGAAAGAATGGCTGCAGTACTTTGCTGCGCACTGCTGTTTATGCATTTTTCAATAAATATTGTCGTGCTATATAAGCAATGCAGACGGTGGTGTCGGTCTATTTTGATAGTCATGCGCGGTTGAAGAGGGTAGCTCAGTTCTACATTTGTTATAACTTGGTCAGCATGATTGCATCAGAAAAAAGAAATTGGAGGATATAGAAATTATCTATTGAACAAGACATAACCAAATTTAAATTTGCCGGTTATATTCGCTAAATTTCTATCTACTCACGTTAGTGACGTGGGTGCAGCCTTCTTTATGAGATGTGCGCAGTGTCTTCTAAAAATGACAAAAAGTCGCTCAAAACCTTGATTTGCACCGTCAATTGTAATGCGCATCGTACAAGCCCACTGCTAATATGCACATGCACTTGCTAACGAAAGACGTTCATTACCATGATAGTTCAATGCTGAAGATACATAGCGAGGCATACACAGTGTCCTTTTCTGCATCTAATGCGCACATGCCCCGGCTTTGAGGCTTCTGGTTGCGTTTTTATCCTAGTTTGGTTTTGCGTTCAGCATCACATCCGCTCGCTATACTACAAGTGCGACAGTCCATAATCTTTTCGATAGAAGCCTCTCTTCAATGTGGACACACGATCACTTGCGTTCAGTACAAGCTGAGCTACATTCGTCCACTTGTATCGCAATCGCGTCGATGTGAAGGGTATCTCAGTTTCTATGCGGCCCGATCGTTCGCGAACCAGATGCACTTTGTTTAGAGAAGCCTTGTTACTCCGTCGCCGCACGACAAATTAGTGTTGGGCGTTGCATCATACACATACTTGATCAGCACATATGTCGTGAAACTAGTTGTGATTCTTGCGCATGCTGAAATTTGTTACATGCTGTACAGCCCAAAAACTCACCCAACGTCGACATGAGCGCGGCACTGATCCGCAAAGCACCTGCGATCTTTGCATCAACCGCTTGTCACGAATTTATCCATGCGAACAACGGTGCCGCTTCCTTGCATCGCACAACGATCCATGTGATAGACGACACATCATTCCGGTAGCCTCGACTCGTTTGTCGGAGGTGTCTCGACGACTTCCGCCACTGCAGAAATCGTGTAGTTCATTTGACAACGTTGCAAGTCCTGAGCAGTTTCCACTGCCGATCCCTGCCCCTGCCGCAGAATCCTATCGCTTCCCGCGTCCAGAGGGACGTCGACTGTTCATTGAGGTTACCATGAACAGCGAGCTAAGGTGCACGCAATCCTACTTTTTACTGGCCGAGAGTTTGTCACACAAGCAGAGCCAGCGTTTTGCGGTCTTGCAGCTCTGGCTATATGCTGAGTGCTCTGCAGATCGACTCTGGTCGGCTGTGGAAAGGGTCGTGGAGATGGTTTAGCTTTTGACGAGCTCTTTGACTGCCGCACGCGCCACTCCTTCTTGCCAAAGAGAAGGCATCTGCACGCCGGAGTTTACGTGTCTCGCGCACTGCAACGGCATTTTGACGGAGGAGGTACGTGCGACGAGCACCTTTACGCTGAGCTGTTTTGGCTCACTGTCAAACGCAGCTGCGCCACGAGCTTGGAGATTGTCACGCTTAGCTGCTGTCCTCAGGTGTCGAGTAAGAGTGGCGGTGGACACTTCTTGTGTATCAGGGGATACTGGGTGAAGCTGTCGCAGATGCAGTGCGTGGTTCAGTTTATGGGCCTACCTCGCGGGCGAGTGGTTTGAAAGACAGCACATGCAATGGACCCGTCACTCATACCGTACCAGCAGGTTTACCTGCGACGTGGAGACAGCGATTGCAGACGAGTTCCAGTTCGGCAGCTGCGTTGTATCAGTTCAGCAAGAAAGTAGTAGAAGCGGCTCGTATCGTGTCAAAAAACGCCACGACGCTGACGTTGTTTAGGCGCTTCAGTACGCATCGAGGACCCCGCAGCAGCACTGGTGCACACATTCGTACCAGCCTTTCCATCTGCAAGCGCTTCGTGCCTTTTTATCTCTTACAGAAGCCATGAGCTGCACCCCGACTCTTTGGTGGACCTGTAGGATGCGCGTCGTGTGCACACCCCAAGTCAAAAACAAAGTTGTGGCGGATTCTGTCTGCGCTGTAGACAGCTGTCTGTCATTGACGACATGGGGCCCCGATAGACAGTTGTAGTGCCTTACGATACGACTACATCCAGAAGAAGCCAATTCGGTCACCGCGTTTTCATTGTTGATACCATTCACTCACTCTACGCTGCTACCAGTCCAACACCACCCACTGCTACATTCGAAAACACACTCATCATACACACAGACAAATGATACGCGCTTGCGTCGTCCTGACACACGCCTTGCTCAGGCATAAGAGCTGTTGTTCACGCAATGCTCGCCGTTCTTCTTCAAAAGCGACGCAATGGATGGCAGCGTAGGCGAGCCATGGCTCGGTCGAGGCCGTTGCGCTTGGTACGCGCTACTTGGCGTTCGCAGGTGCACTGGAGTTGGCAATCGAAACACGGGACGGTAGCTGTCTCTTAACCGAGTCGGACTCGCACCAGGCTGGTGGACCGACGTGGGGGTCAACAGATTGCTCAGTGGGGAGCACGGCTCAGAGAGCATGAGCTCAAATGCAGCTTTGCTGCTTGGACTCGCCGGTCCTTTGAGAATCGTCGCCAGCTTCATTCGCTGCTTCTGGAGGTGGCCGGCGTACGACCGACGCTGCGCCTCCGACTCGCAGCACCGCAACGCCTTTTCAATCGACCAGATGCTCTTGTGGAGACCACGAATCTGTCGGTGCGGCCACCGCGGCACGCCGTTTTTTCGGCAGATTTTCTTCATGAGTGTCATGCAAATGCCAAAGATGTTGGCCACTTCGGCCAGCGGCTTTTCAAAGTACGGACACAACATGTCCAGCGTAATGGACTTGGACGCGTTCGACAGTGCGCGCACGCGCTTCGTCAGTGGGGACTGAGCAGGCGGCTGGTGGAACGTCGCAGCGGGCGAAGCCATCGGCAGCACGTTCCGCGGGGTCATGAACGCCCGCGCAGGCAAAGCTTTCAGCGAAGGCAGCGCCATGCGCTCATGTGCCGGACTCTTGACCAGCGTCGAGGAGGTCGCCGCCTGCGGCATACCTCCAAAGCCTCGACATTGGTATTGCTGAGGCTCTGGTTGAAACCACGTGCAAGTCGACGGATGCGGCAAACGGAGTGCAGGAAGGGCAGACATGGTACTAATGGTGACGGTGGTGGTGGTAGTGGTGGCAGTTGCCGCTTGGAGAGGGGGCCCTGGTGGCAAGACGACCGAATGAATAATGAGGCAGCTCAACGTCGACATGGTCGCCGTAACTGTACCGTCGTCAAGCAGAGCGGTTTTCCAGACCAGAAAGCACCACCAGCTTGTGGGATGACAGCAGGCAGCTGGAAGCTGGAAAGACAGGGACAGCGGATCCAATCCACGAGCGCTGCACGTCCCCTCTGTTTGTACGGCGCACAGAAAACCGGCCCTCGCGCAGATGGTTCTCGGGTAGATAGATGGTCGTCGCCAGCTGCTACCGGAGACTAGACGGCGCCGAAGCGAGCGATCCGTTGCGACGCTGCACTCCGTTCCAGCACAGAGGTACATGAACGGCAGTAGGTGCGCCAAGTACTGGACGATCGCGTTGTCGCTGCCGTGATGTGGTCGGAAGAAGGGAAACAAAAGCACAGCCGACGGATAGTGCGCACGTCTTGTGCTCGACTACGGGCGTCAGGCTCTCTCGCGAAAGGACACTCTACCGTTGCTGCTGTTGCTGCTGCTGCTCGTGTGTGTGTGTAGTTTAGGTGGGAATGTGACGAAGCGCAGGCGCAGGAGCACGTCGCGACGCCACGCCACGTCAACAGCAGTCAGTAGCTCGGACAGCAAGCCAAGCAGAAGCAGAGGGAAGACGCCACCTGTCGTAACAAGTCAACACTGACGATTCGACAAAGCTCCGTAGCCGTCACTTGCTTTGCTGCAGCACATGTTGGCGCCCTTGTCACGGGCACGCAGTGTTCGTACGCACGGTCGCCAAAGGAGCTGGCTGAGTGCTCCAGGTGGCATCGCTCAAGGAGGTCGTCGGGCCTTTTCCACAGACAGTCGAGGATCGTTGACAGCAGCTGGTGGAGTCGCCACGCAGCTGATGATTGCCACCTCAGTCGTAGCTGCAGATTTGTGGCTGTGCGATTGGAAGCTCACGGGGTCGCACAGGAGCATCGTGTCCTTTGGCTGTTGAACGGGCGAACCATCTGGTCCGTCAAAGGACACTGGCTCCACGGGGAGCACCAGACGTCACGCACGCAACCTGTCTGTCACGATGATCAACCGCAAGGCGTGGATGGGGGATGAGCGTGCATATGGGTGGGCGTCTTGCACGCCCGAAGACTCGCCTGTCTTGAATCCGCTCGTCTTGACAACACTGCAGGACAGGTGGCTGGGTTCAGTACCTGTGCCTCGCCGCTATGGGGCCAACTGGTCATCGCACAGGAAGTGAAGCAGTCCGTGCCTATTGCGAGCGTCAGCCTTGACCGAGTCTACCAGGGTAGCATGTGTGCATGAAAGGTAGTGAGTGGTCAAGACTTGCATGACGTAAAAGTGCTCCATCGTCTGGAAACCGGTGTAGCTGCCTCAGCCGAAACTCCATGATGTCGACTTACTCGGTTGCTTTCTAGCAGACGTGGTCATGTTCGTAGATGTCGTGCCTGTCTGAGGGAGTCCGGGCGCCTTGAAGGAGAGAAAGAAGGTCAAAGATCGATGGAGAATACCAGGGACAACTGTCCAGAAAGGCGCAGGCTGCAGCTCGTACAGTCTCAGCGCCTTCCTCGGCGAACATGGCTATGGTGATTGACATCGAGCCGTGCAATGCTGCCTCGGTCAGACGGTGGGAGGAATACCGCTGACTTGACTGAGCTACGCCATGCAATACGGTCCGAGATTGGCCTGAACACGTTCTGGTCTGCTCCGCAAAAGCTGCCCGCAGGCCGTTGATTTGGCGATGCAATATGCAGGGATCCCGGAAAGACGCGGGCATGTTGCAACTGGCTTCGACAAGCTAGCTTCCTCCACTAATCTTGCAGGACGAATGGCCTTAGCTCACAGGGGAGGCACTCGACGTCACGCACGTGACGATCCAGTGCGAGCGGTATCGATCGTCAGTTCCCTACTGCATGCTACTGAAGTCCAATCGTGCGCGCATCAATTACGTCGATCCAGTTTGTAATGCAACGCTTGTCGTCGTCGTCGTCGTCTTCTCGGCAACTTTCTCCGCGGTGCAAGCGCATTTCGGGTGCTGTCAAGCAGATGGCAATGTGACTCACGCAACTGAACGATATCCTGCGAGGTAGCGACGCTACGAGTGTCTGCAGTGCCTAATCGATATGGTCGTCTAGTCGTGCAGGGTGAAGGGGGCCCGGAGTTTACGATGAAATGTAAAGGTAGTGCTTGGTAAACATGTATACACCCAGTCTTGCAAGTAACACACCGCGGTGGTGAACACTGTGTGATCGCGTCGACACCTGCCGACTATGGAGACCGCAATTCCCTGCACTAGCATAAATTTGGCCCACGAGCAGGCATACATATGACTGTAATCGAGACACGGTCGACCTCGTCTCGCGAGCACGCCTTTCCTGTGCCTGTCGTCAGTTGCAGTAGCGCCTGTAAAGGACGACACACTTTGGAGATGGTCAACGTACGGCAATTGAAAGGAGAAAACGTGCTCGATCCGTAGACGAAGACGGTCACGGTCACGACGACCTGTGCAGCAGAACAACGGATCTCATTCTCGCCGAGGGAGTGCAATCACATAGAATGTCTCGAGGCAGCACCAGGAGCAGACCACTATTGTGCAACAAGCATGAGTCAGCCCTATCGTCACTGATCTTTAGATTGCTCGAAGGGTAATGTACCTGCTGACTCCCGGACGGTCTGCCACGCGCTCCAAGGTATGGCACACGCCCCTTTCTCCATTCCATGTGGTTTGAGCTACCGTGGAAGTTGTAGTTATGTGGCGGGTGGACAGTGTCTCCTTGGGAATGACAAGCAACCCTCTCGTATCGCGGGAGACATGGAATTGTTAATGGTCAGGTTTGGTACGCCGTCCGTCATCAGCAACGATCTGGCTGACCAGTGCTGGTATCATGTATGATATTGACATTCTAAGGGCACCACCGCCGCGGCCACCCACATGCTGCGCTCATAATTGTAGCGAGCGAGGGAGGTCAGCGACGCAACGATGTCGAGCGACTTACTGCCATGTGCTAGTTATTGTCGAAATATCAGCCACCATTGTTGATGATATCTTCAACCGCGCAAAAAATGCAATCAAAGTTTGCTATCTCTCTTGCTGCGGAGAGATACAGAGAAGAGGTTAGCCTAAGCTGGTCGAAGACGAGAAAGCTAGAGAAAGACGAGGGACCGTGTAGCAATTACAAAGGCAATGTTCGTCGCGGAATTGTTCTGTAACGGGTTGAGCCTGTCACATGTCATTGATCGTCAAATGTAGCGCTGTGAATATTATCATGGAGGATAATATTCATTAAAGCAACCTGGATCAGGTAATATTGATGAATCATTTCCTTCTAAGGTAACGTTCGTGGACGCTCCAATTATTAGTTGATATCGATTATGGTATCCACCAAGTCAAGCACCACCCGCCGCTAGACGCGCGCAATGAGTGATGAGCGAGAAACCTACTTAGGAGACTGTAGTTTAATATATTTAAAATACGACAACGAGAGTTGACCGCAAAAACATACCATAACTGTTACGGGGTAGCAAAGGTCTACTCATTCCTTGATATCGTGGTTATATCAACTTACCAATCGCTGCTAGACGCGCGCAATGGGTGGTGAGTAGACGGGATCATAAGTTTGGATATGTGATTATATAATTAAGTCAGTCCAAAACAGAACAAGAGTTACAGAACTTAATTGCACTAAAATGGGGAAACGTTCACCACCCCCAGGTTTCGCTAACCACCCCCACCCCTATAGATTACCGAAATCTACTCGATTTACGCCTTCTGATTGGTAGGATCGAAAACATTACCGGTCTCAGAAGTAATTTACAATCTCATTTACAAATGATAAAATACTAAATCCTAACAATCTATGCATGTCTTTAAGTCGGTGACGTGTGGTAATTTATTATTCAGCTACTTCATTTGACCGAGTTATGGCTCGGTCAAATGGTACTCTTATACGAGCGATTCTAGAACAGGTTAAGCTTGTAGCGAATATCCTGCATGGGTACTGTAACAGAGGCATCCAACAACATTATATTCGAAATTGACTTCAAGCCAGCCGCAGAGGTCTATCAAGAGGTACATCAATCGTCGTAATACCTGTTCAATTTACTGATTAGACTAACGTGTAACTGGATGATGGTAGTGGCTCGACGTGGCGTCTGATACGAGCCAGACTGAGATTTTCTCGATAGGGTTTTCCCGAATAGGTAGTCTTCATCCGCTGGGCACTACAATTGACTTCGTTTTGATTCAAATGGAGATCTACCGCAGCATTGACGCCCACTCCTCCTCTTCGTTGTGCAAAATGCAGTCAAGTGACTGGTAAGCCGATCAACATGACAGCAGTGATCACCGGCATCAAGGAGGATGGCTCACTGAGCGCTTCAATCAAAAACACGGGAAACATATAAATTACGGTAATATATAGGGGTGGGGGTGGTTAACGAAAACCTGGGGGTGTGTGGTGGTAAACGTTTCCCATAAAAAACAGTCCTACTTTCCCTTCTACTAAACTAATTTTTTGGTACCTATTCTTCCTCCGAGTGCGTACGGCGTACGTACGTTAACAAGGGCACTTGTTCTCAATGCATTCAGCGAGAACTTACTACGCACTGACAGCAGTGCGTAGTTCCAGCGCCCCGTGTTACAATAACAATTACAATTTCACATTTCCCTAATCTATGCTATCTTTGCTCATGTCTCTGTCTTGCAATTCCTCCACGCTTACGTGAACGGGACGTCCAAGAGCACGCACCCTTGTGTTGAAAGACGCACAATGGCTAACCAGTTATCGGTTAGCGCGTGCCATGTTACAGGTTCACTAAAACAAACAGGTGAATGCTCTTTTTTTGTGTGATCCCGGCTCGATGCAGTCCGAGATAGATACCAGGTTGATCATAGATTTGAGATCGACCTTCTAAAAGAAATGAAACTCACACAGCAATCAATCCAGCCTTAGCGTGTG